GCAGGAACTGGTATGAAATAACCTGGATATCAAAAATTACCTGAAAAAGTGTAAAAATCAGCTTTAAAATTATTTGAAAGAAGTAGTTTCTTCTTTACCATATTGTCACAAAACAACAAAAGAGTTACAAAGAGGAAAAAAAATTTTAGAATCACAGAATAACCTGAATTGAAAGGAACCCACAGGATTCATTGAAGTCCAACTCCTGTCCCTGCATTCACCCAAAGAATCATACATAATATTCACTGCAGACTACAAAGTCAAACCAGTGGCACCACCCAACCCTGAACTGAGAAATACTGAATAAAATCACCACCAGGCACAGTGCAGGGGGGCTGGGTGCACATTTTGTTTGACTCAGGATATTCCATTTGGGCATTCTTACAGGGAGCCACAGAAAGAAGCCCACAATATTGCAATGACAGGTCCACTGGAACTAATCCTAGAATCCTACCTTTAATTAAATTTAAAGACACACATTGAAGTGAGAGATTTTTGGGGGATTTGGGGTTTTTTGGGGTTTTTTTCCAACTACTGTATCCTTATGAAGTGGAGCTGAGAACTAACAAAAGTGCAGTTCCACATTTGTTACATATTTCAATACTCTGATTAATACATTTGTCAAACAAGGTAGATGAGAGAATGTGGGGAATATACTTTCCCAAAAGAAAGAAAAGTGGCAGACACAGTAACTAAACCTATTAAACTTCCTATTTTCCAGAATTATCAGCACCAGCCACGCCTTTTTTCACTACTTAGAGCAGAAATGAAGAACAGCAATGAAAAAAATACACAAAAGTAAATAAACCATTTGAGAAGTCAGTGTTGAAAATTTCTGAAAGGTGATTTCCTTTTCTTCACCAGACAGACATTCAGAGAGGTGCTTCTGACCCCTGGATGTGTAGTGAAATTCAGTGACAACTGAAATTCAGGAGAAGCTGTCAAGGTACCACAGAGATATTGGCATCATTTTAAGTGTAGTATGCTGGATCGTATTTTTCCTTCTCAAATTAGAGGTTAAATCTGGCAGCAGAAACTCAACCAGCACTGGGATATGCAAGAACTCAAAACACTAGGGCATTGCCTAAGACCAGATTGGCAGCATCTTTCCCCTTGGGAGGCTGCAGCTCATGGGACCTTTCCATTTCAAAATCCAGCAGAAGGCAGGACCTGGGAGTTATCCACACATAAATGGTATGAGAGGGGATCCCACCTCCTCTCTTGCTGTAGGGGCTGCAGTTGGCACCTCTATCACAGGATGCAGACCCACACACCAAGGAAAGATACTAAAAACCAATCTCCTTCAGCTCACAAGCCCATTTACCCTTACCAAAATTACTGATGATTTATGTCAGCCACTGAGGATTCACAGACCAGAACACGCTTGCACCAAGCCTGAGAGCCTTGCAAATTCAAGTCATGGTAGGGGTTAACATCAGCATTTAAAACTTTCAAAAGTATTGCAAACAATTACCACACCCTCAAGTCACAGATAAAATATTTTGTGGAGCTTAAATACATATATATCTGGCATGACACATTTCTCAATGCCTGCAAAATTTCCCTGCAATTCCTGACAATAGAATACTTCGATTTTAGAAGTTGGTTGTAGAGCAAAAATTGTTTTATTTATTAAAAACGGTGCTTGAACTTACCTTTTAGCAGAGGCAGGGGAGTTAACTCGATAGGCTTGCCCTGAGACCTGAACTGGGAGGAGCTTTGTGACCTCTTCTGTCTGGCTTTTCTGACGGACTTCCGAGAAAATCCGTCTACTTTATCCACTGATGGAGGAGTAGTTGGTGCTGAGGACATATCCCTACTGAAGGAAAGCACATGTTAAAAATGTGTTCTAAATGAGTGAAACAGGTAAAGATTAACCTAAACTTTGCAATTATCTTCTTCCTGCACTGCTCTCCTGTTGACAACTCACACAGATAAACTGGTGAGAAATCTAACCCATCTTATGGATGGAATAAACTTGATGGAACTTAATTATTAGTGTACTAATTCCTCTTGCTTATTTTTTTATCTGTGTCTCCCATTTGCCATAAAATTTACAGACCTAATGCTGACATCACTGCATTGAGAATTCCATCAGAGCAGAACTTCATACACCTGCAGACCTGATTGTAGCTTTAAATTATGCATTCCTTGGGATGAAGTCATTTCAACTTACTCTGCTAAAGAATGGGTACACAAAAAGGCACAGACAGTTTTTTGGCATTAAGGTCACCCATATGCACAGGACAAAAAACACAGGACAGAACAAAACCTCCATTTATTTGCCACACCTACATACAAGATTTTATAGAAATTTAGGACAGTATAGTAAAAAGTACTGCCATGTCTCACAATTTCACTATCACTGACAAACTGTGCATATTACTTCATTATTCTCCCCTTCAGAAACACACAGTTATTTTCCTGGTGTAACAATATGTGAGTGCCTTTACATGTAGTTATTCCATGGCATTTCTGGACGACTGGCAGTGTGGTAGCTGCAACTGCTCTAAGGGCACGAGACAGACAAGTTTGCAGGGAGAGGCAGAGAGCCAAAAAAGGCTTCTGCAAGCAAAAGTTTGTTTGTTTCCCAACTTCAGCTGGCCTAAGCAATAGGCATTTGCTTCTTCCTACAAAACCTGCCTCGGTGGTACTCCTGCAGCTGATTCTGTACCGCTAGCAAACACTGAATTAACGCATCCAGCTGTTTTATTTACCAGTCTGGTCCTGTCTGTTAAAAAGGCCCATCAGAGCTTGATGAAACACATGAGTAATACTCAGGGGAGAGGAGACAGGAGGAATTCAGGCCTACACAGTTACAAGCAGCTCGGTGCACAGTTAACTCCAGCAGCCTCCTCTGCATTACTAACAGACCATTAACGAGGGCAGCTCTGGCGATTTCGGCCAGGACAGGCACCCGTGCAAAGTTAAGCATCGGCGTAAGCACTTGCAGGATCAGGGTCTTAGAGCATGTCCTTGGAAAGCGTTACTCGTCCTCAATGTCTCTTGACTTCAATTACCAAAGTGACTCGTGGGCTACAAGAAGTTGATTCCACAACATACAGACCACTTTCGAGTACTTATTATTTTTATTGAAATATGTGGTTACTCGTCTGCTTCACAGATTACTAAATCCACTGAAACGGGCATTATTTGGGTTTGTCTTTTGTAAGAAAAGCTTTCGAAAGCATGATTTGTTGCAACAGTGTAAACAAGCCCCAAAAGATAAGAACTATTTAATGCAAAATTACATATAGGTACACTGAATCTATCAAAAATGGAGTATAAACTCCTTTGGTTTTTCAAGGAGGAATGTGCAGCACCCAGAAGCTGAACTGTGCAGCTGGCATTGCAATAATGAAAAAAACCTTATTCCATCTTTTTGATTTCTCCTGAGGTATTCTTTCACTACCAGCTTAGGCTTTCTAAATATAATATACTATCAGCAACATGAACCCGTACCTTAAACTGGTCTTGTTTATCACCCAGGCAAGGAAAAAAAAAAAAAAAAAAAAAGCCACCATCACCAGGGCATTCAGGCCCCAGCCAAGATTAATAAATAAAAAAGTCAGATAAACTGGAATAGAATGGCCTGTACTTTAGTAACCCACTTCTAAGATTTCAACAGTCCGCCAAAAAACACACAAAGTTACCTGTTACATAAACCAAATTCTGAATATATCAGCAAAAATATATTCCCTAAACCTGAATCGGTTTGGCCCCATCTCATCTCATCAGAAAGCTTCCCCTCCTCATCACGTGCATCATTAAAGTGTAACCATCCCTGCAGAAATGTTTGCACGCTCTCTCCAAATTAAATTTACAAAAAAATAATAGAAATAACAATAATGGACAGCGACTAAAGTAGATCACTTAAACTGCAGGATCATTGTGTCAGCAAGGAGCTTTACTGACACTTCTCTGCTGTAAATTTAGTAACAGTTTCCCTAACCTGCTTTATAAATTATTAAAATCTAATTCTAATTCAACAAGACTACATCCAGCCTAACAACCTTACAGTAAACACTGATCTTTATTTTCGTCTCTCCAAATGAACATTCGCTGCCCTGCATACACTATCACAGGGAAATACTCTGTTTCCACCAACAGCGGGGGAGGGGAGGGGGGGAATAAAGCCCGAGATTATTTATTGTGTGCGAGGGGTGGAAAGCTGCAAACCCGGCCACCGCTCCATTCCCCGAGTATTTTGGTAAATACGAAGCCACGCTCATCAGATCCGCCGGTCCCGGGGGCGGGGGGGGAAGTGAAAATACCGACGGCTATCGGCGGGGAAGGGAGCAGAGGCGCAATGCTCGGCTCTGGGCTGTCATTGCCAGACGGGATCTCCGCAGCTGGAACATGTCCTCCCGCAGCCCCCCGCGCCGCCTCCCGCACCGCCGGCCCGGCGATGGAGTTACCTTGGCGCTCCCGGTAGAGAAGCCGGAGACGGAGGGAGGCGGCGGCGGCCTTGGCGGAGTGCGGCCGATGCCTGGCGGCGGCGGCGGCCCGAGTGCGGATCTCGCCGGGCTCGGTCGCTGCCGCGGCGGCGCAGGAGCCCTGTAGGCCTCGGCCTCGGCGGCGGCGGCAGCGCGGCCTCCGCGGCGCAGGGCGGCGTCGGCGGCGGGTTCAGGCGCGGGCGGCTCCGCTCAGTCCCGTGCACTCCCCGCTGCCTGCGGTGCTGCTGCCTCTTCACATTCCCGGAGAAGGGCCCTGCGAGGCGGGAGGGAGCCGAGCCGAGCCGAGCCGAGGGGGAGCGGCGGGCGCGGGGCGGGGGGGCAGTGCCGGGCAGGGCGGGGAGCGCTGCTGTTCCGCCGGCGGCTGGCGCGGGGGAGAGCGAGCGGGGGGTCCCGGTGGGCGTCGGGGGTCTCGCTCCTATTGTGGCTCTCAGCGGGCTCCGGCCATGGCACTCGCTCGCACGCACTCGCTTCTCGCTCACAACCGAGCGCGCTGCTGCCACCGCCCCCCGCCCGCGGACCGCCCCCGACCGCCCACCGGAGCCGCCGCCGGGACGCGCCGCCTCAGTGGCGCCCGGAGCCGCCTTGGCCGCCGGGACCGCCGGGAAAGGGCCGCCCCCTCCCCGGCCCCGCGCGGCCCTCGGCGCTCTCCCGTCCCTCGGCGGGGCCCGTCGGCCGAGCAGCAAAACCCAGCGCTGCTGAGGGGAAACCGCGCTCAGGCTGAGGTAAAGCCCGGTCGGACCCTCTCGGGGGGCACAGAGCCGCTTCCCGGGGCGGGCTGGGGGCAGCCGGAGGGACCGAGCCGGCGGTTCCCTGCTCTGGGAAGCAGTGGCTGCACCCCTCACTGTTCCCTGCTCAACTCTGCACCCTTGGGTTTCTTAGCCCAGTGTGTGATCGCTGTCTGCATCGCTTTTTTTTTTTTTTTTTTTTTTTCCCCCAAGTATATTTATATATATTTAGAACCAGGGGCCAGCATAATGACTGCTTGTAGAAACCACGGTTAAACATCATAAATTTTGTTTAAATTTATCTATCCGATGGCTTGGCGTTTGATGGTTTTGGTTTGTTTGTTTTTGCTGGGGGTTTTCCCAAAATACGTCTAATGGCTACAGGGTGAGGAAGCTGGGCAAGGGTCTGCAGCACACAAGTCCTGTGAGGAGCAGCTGGGGGAGCTGGGGATGTTTAGTCTGGAGAAAAGGAGGCTCAGGGGTGGTTTTAGTGCTCTGCAAGTCCCTGAAAGGAGGGTGTAGCCAGGGGTTCAGTCTCTTCTCTCTCAGACAAGTGACAGAAATGAAGGGACACAGTAGGGGATGTCAGGGGAGGTTTAGGTTGGGCATTAGAAAGAATTTCTGTACAGGAAGGGTGATTAGACATTGGAATGGGCTGCTTAGGGAGATTGGTGGAGTTACTGTCCCTGGAGGTGTTTAAGGAAAAACTGGATGTGCCATGGTCTGGTTGACAAGCTGGTGTTCAGTTACAGATCTCAGAGGTCTCTTCCAACCTCAGTGAATATGTGATTCTGTAATGGTGTTACTATGAATGTTATGTTTTAAAATAGGCTCCACCATTTCACCTGTATTTCTGGCAGGGAAAAAAAGTTGACATCTATAAGTAGCAGCCCTCCTATGTTAATGTGACCAAATCCCTCTGATGTAGTCTTTTTTTTAGGAAATTGGCTCAAAGGCAGTTTGAGAGCTGGTTCTTTGGTGGGTCAGTCACATCCCTGCTGTTTCTACAGGTACTGAATCCTCTCAACATTACTAACCCTGCAAAGGATATCTAGTTGTTGTCCTACTCAGCTTCCTGACTCAGCTTTTGGCATAACGGAGCAAGTGAGACTGTGTCAGACTTGATTTAAAGTCGTTTAAGCTGTTGTCAAACTGCTTTCAAAACTGCTAATTTTCAGCCAGTTGCCTGGTCCAGCTCCCGCTGAGGAACCTGCAACACTGGTTAAAAGCTCATGGCCACTGAAGTATAACTGTAATGGATGTGAGAAGTTTTGCCTCTTTATATCATAAGATATATGTCTCCCCTATTTTTTTTTTACCAATAGACAAAGCAATTCCGCTTCCTTTCAATCCTTCCTGGTGTGGCACAGTTTTAAACCTCTTAAGATGCTTATGTCTTCTCCTTGTGTTGTCTCAAAATCATTCACATCTTTTTTTTTTCTTAACTGTAGCACCCAAGACTGGATATTACTAAAATTAAGGCCTCAACAATGCCAGCATCTGCTGTCCTGCCCGTCACAGACCCCATTCCTGTTTACACATGCCAATACAAGTGCTTTTGAGTCAGCCTGATTTATTCACAATCTTGCTGACCTGTTTTACCCCCGCATCCATTTCTGCTGACCTCCCAAGCCAGGTATTTCTCTCTCAAGTAGACAGTAATGCTGCTTGAGAAATTATTTCCTGCAACAGCCCTAATGCTGTGCCTTCATTTTTATTTTATAATCAAGCAGTCAGGACATCTTTTAAAATGAAATTCCACATGATGTTAAGTCAGAGAACTGTAGAATTTGTCATCCTCTGTAAATTGATTGCACTTCTCAGAAGGATTGTATTTTAAAAAGCAAAACAAAGATTGAACTGTGCCACAATTACAGAAGGGTTGTGTAACTCTAAATTTAGAAGAGCAATTTGTACGTATTTGTAGACATTTAAAACTTCAAATTTTCTTCAACTAAACCAGCTAAAATAACCCAAATGCAAACAAGGGTGGATTACAAAGAATGTGGGTTGGAATTATACCAATATAAGGTAAAATATGGCAAAACCAGTGCAACTGTTCTTTCTATCCCATTATTGAGGGACAGAACGTGTATTTGTATGTGTTTTGTTGTTCCATGTGCTTAATTCTGACAGCTCAGAATTCCTCAGTTCTGCTCACTGTCCTGTGTGCTGCTTTTGATGTGAGCAGTGCAATGAGCAGCTCATAAAGCTACTGGCAGCATGACCTGCAGAAGGGAGGTTCTAGCACAGCCTGATGGCTACACTGGCACTTGAGGTGCAGTTGAGCAAGTCATTTTACATGATTGTACTTCAGTTTTCCTAGTATGAGATTAATCCATCTTTGTAAAACATCAAATATCTAAAACTGAAGCCTGTGATGTGGGTATCTATTAAAATAACTGCCATAGAAGGGATAAAAATCAACAGTGCTGCCCAAGACCACTGTCCAGTGCACACAGATGGTTTTACTCTTCATTCTGACTTTGTATAATAGCTACAGAATTAGTTCTTCAGTACAGCTGAAGAAGCTGGTAAATAATGCATTCAGCTAATTCATTTCTTAGATGGTCATCCTGTAGTCTGGTTGGTCCATTTTGGCTGTGTAAAGCATTTTTATGATCTGTTTTATATCAGGTGATGTTTGGACAGTAGCAATTCAAGAAAAAAAAATTACAGGCTTTATCAGGGAATAAACAGAAATCTTACCTTTTCTTTGTCACGTGGCCATCAGATTTTACGCTGTGGGCTTCCCATTTATTTCCTGGCCGCTTTCTTTTTTCTACTTTAATCTGTGATGCCCTCATCTGTGATGAGATTTCAGAGCACAACATAAGATATGCTGATGTTTCAAAGGGGGTGCTGTTACTTGGCCTTCTCCTATTCTCTATTTAGCCTGTATTTTGAAAAAAAAATTGCTGCTTTGAAAATGGTTTTGTGACTCCCAAGCAGAGATGGAGAAGAACTGAGTACTGCAGGTGTTTTACATAGATGTGTATCTGTATATGTTTATGTATATGTTTGTATAAATACATGTAATACCGATTTGCAAGAATAAAAATTAACTTTCCTCAGATAAAAGTTCACATGACCAACATCTCCCATACAAGTGTGTGGGTATATATATGAAAATATGTGCACATTCAGTACCTGCAGCCCTTCCTGGAGCAATAATAAATCCTTTTGATCCGTGTTTTTCCACTGCTATCAAAGGTACAAGACAAACCTATTCTTTTTAAAACTTACACTGCCTCGCTCTCCTACAAAAGGGTTTTTTTAAAAATACCTGGAAAGGAATTTTCAGGGCCAGCTCCTCACCAGTTCAGCTCTGCTTTTTAGCGCTCAGACAGTTGGAACATCAGACAAGAGCCCTCCAGAACAGAGATTTTTGTACCAGTGACTCAGATTTGTGCCACTTCACGTTTTTTTGTGTGTCTAGAGTTCCACTATGGACCATCTGTTATGGCCACTGAGGCAAGAATACAGAAGCTCTCATCCACATTGGCATTCTGCTCTTTGCAGAGCAGCTTATCAAACAGGATTGCTGCAGAGATCCCACTGTGGAAGTCCTGCTGTATTGACTGATAAACATAAATGGATCTAGCTGGAGCTTGTTTCACCAGGCACATGTGACATGTATTTGTCTACAGGAAGGGTCACATAATGCTCCATAAAGAATCTCCTATATGTCAAAAGGAGCATTATCAGGGTACCATGGGATTAGTCTAGATATTCCCTGTTCCAATACTAGGAAGCAAGGAAAGATTTGATCTCCCCAGAGAACTAATTATTCAGACCATCAGGAAAAAGACCAGCCAGAGAAAGTGCTATGGAGGAAGTAGCAGAGCTGTTTGAAAAGGCAAATCAGCATCTGAACAAGGCTTTTCTGATACATCTTTTAACAAAAATGAACACTGTGGAACACAGCATCAAAGTAACTGTCCTGCTCCATCACTGAGATTGAAAGGGCACAATCTGAGACTTTTTTGTTTATTTTTTAATCCAATTCACGTGTAACAAGAAGGCATTCTGCTTAAGTCTGCTCACCCTGCTGTTAACTCCTGATTCGTGTTTTTGGTTCTGAGGAGGAGTGGTGTGGCTTTTAGGCAGTGTTTGCAATTGCCATACCAAGTTTCTCTAATAATAAGCAAGTGCTTGTTACAGTTTCCTCCTGCTCCTCCTCCTATCTGCTGTGCCATGGCACTGTCAGCGCCCTCAGGAACTGAATTCCTGGTGCGTGTGGGGTAAGCATTTTAGGGTCATAGACACAACTACCAGAGTGAGAACTAATTCTTCCTCTCTGTTTATAGACACTGCGTCATTTGAGGTCTGTTTCTGTAGTCAACATGGCAAGATAAGTAGGAGCTTGCTCGCCTTGGCAGCTGGCTAGCTGCCTCCTCCAGCACAACTCTGCTCTCACTTATTCCCCAATTCATGGGTTTGTTCCTGCTTTGTTCCCCTCCCCCAGTATCTTAACTTGCCTCCAGGCCCTGGGCACTCCTTGAAGCCAAGTTTTCTGAATTTTTTTGTTCACTTTCCTTCACTGCCTGTTTACCTCTTACCTTCCTCAGGCTTTGCACTCCACTGCTGGGCCAACTCCCCTCCCCAACTGTCCCCGCAAACCCCAACTGTCACCTACAACTGCCCCAGAAGGTTCTGGTGCTGCCCCTTCTCCCAGGGCAGTACCCACTGGCACCTGAAACTGCCTGGAAACAGCCACGTGTGTTACATGGCCCCTGTGCACTGGGGGATGTTGGAGTCTCAGGTGAAACCAGCTTGGCTTGTGCTCTTTGCTGTGTGATCAAGTGTCCTTCAAGTATCCGAAGGGAGCCTCCAAGAACGATGGAGAGAGACTTTTTGAAGAGCAGATACTGGCAGGACAAGGGGGAATGGCTTCAGACTGAAAGAGAATAGTTTAGATTATGTATTGCAAAAAAAATTCTTTACTATGAGGATGTTGGCACAGGTTGCCTAGAGCAGCTTGGCTGCCCCATCCCTGGCAGTGTTCAAGGCCAGGTTGGATGGGGCTTGGAGCAACCTGGTGTGGTGGAAATTGTCTCTGCCCGTGGCATTGGGTTGGAATGAGATGGTCTTTCAGGTCTCTCTTACACCAAACCATTCCTTGATTCTGTCTCCTGCACTTAATGTGTGTACAAACCAGTATATACACTGCCACAAAACCATCCTCTTCAGGTGAGCACCTTCTATTGTGGCCCAGCTTCCTACTTACAGCATCACTCTGGAAAGAACAAATGAGTAAAATACCTCTGTGTGTGTGGTGCAGGTGCCCAGAAAGTGTGTGAACTGTAGCACTTCCCAATCTCCACTGAAGCATCACCAGCTCCCTCCCAAGCTCAGTGCATCTCTCATGATCATAGCAGCAGTTGATAAAACTCTTGGATTTTTCCACAAATGCAGAGATCCTGAGGATGGAGTAGGCTGAGACAGAGGTATCCTGTTCTCTTTGTTGTAAAAGAGAACAGGCAAGTATTCATATTGTATTTTTTCAACCTGCTTTATCTTGTGGTACAGCTTTAACCTATTGGATACTTTTTAAATTTTCAAATTACGGCAAATGGAAGTGTTCTCTAGTCAATGGCTCAGCTCAGCACTGTAAAGAATGCTGAATATCAGAGGGGGTCTAGCAGCACTTAAGTTTAAACTACAAACTTTCCAAATTTTGCAGTAGGGATGAATGGATATCTAGGAATACTGCCAAAATGGGCAGGATAGAAAAAGAAATAGGACCATTTTCTAGAGTCTTTCAAGATCTACTGTCAGGTAAACAAATAGAATAATTTTGCCACTGAGAAAATTATATGAATTAGGAGGTTGTAGTTCTGTCATGACCCTGTACAGGAATTTCAGATACCCTATACATGACCAGTAAGAAAGGACTTTGTGTGAGACAGGAACTGGAGTTGGGATCCAAAAGCTATAAATCTTAGAAAAAGGCAGAAATGCATTAGATTGAGATGGAAAATAGCGAAGAAATGCCTAAATAATCTCATGACTAAGCAGACCACACAAAAATAGATAACTGGAACAAGAACAAAACTGGTGCTCTTCTGTGCAAGCACTGGAAGTTTAAAAACTCGAAGAGATGAGGACACCTCACTTTAAAGGAGCACTCTGATAGGACTGATTTTTAGGAAACACTGAGAAGAAATGTCATTAAAGCCTCCCCCATACTTGATGGCCTAAAGAGTTGAGGATGCCAAAGTTAGGAAAAGAACAGCAAATAAACAGAAAATATACCACTGTACAAATCCATTGTGCATCCTTCCTTATCTCCAACTCTGTGTAATGTAGAGAAAGCCAAGAAATAAAATGGCTTGGGACAATTCCCACAGAAGGGGAGGATTCACACACTGGTGATCTTGATCTCAGAATTAAAAAAGCTCCATTCCAAATTTGAGAGAGGTTTTTCAGGGTCTTCAGTGGAAGGGAGACAGGTGAATGAGTGAGTTATTTATCAAAACTGCTTTTTATTTTTTGTTCCTGTGTTATCTGGCAAGGTGGAATATTGCAAGCTTCCACATCTGTTAGGGAGGCAAAAGGTTTGAAATGGTTCAATAAAGCAAAATTTAAAAAACAGACGCTCAAGGGCACTGAGGAGATTAAACTGTCCTCATGTTTAATGGGCTGCCTTAATTGCAACATACATGACACATGCAACATATTAATGAGTGGAGAAGCCTATCTAAGTACTAAATAAAAATGCACCACTATCAGCTTTAAAAGTCTGCTCTGTAGAGAAGTCTAGAGACCAGACTTAGGGTAAGATAGCTCAGTAAATACAGAAGAATTGGAACCAATAAAAAAATCTGTGATGTGGTAATATTTGGCATACTGTTATTATTGAGTGGCTTCTTTGACATGCTGTACAGTCCCCACACTTGGGGAATTTTCAACATTATCCAATGTCAGGTGGGACCTCGAAGAATTTATAGCAAGACTCAATAGCCAAGACTTGAGTGAGAGCTGATCAAAAACAGAGCTGAGATTTCCCTTTCTCAACTAAGCAAGAAGTTAAAACCACAATTTGCTAGGGCACCAAGTGGCACCAGAGGACACCTCTGGAAAATTTGTCTTAAGCTATATTTAGTACATCCAAAGAAATTGTAGCTCCCACTTGAGCTATTTCAGCTCAAATACAAATAAATAAAGAAATATTTTAGAGAGCTGTGTGCTTCTGAGTCAGATTTAGTTCTAATATGTGCCTTTCTAGGTGAACTCCTGCCTTGGAGCAGATTAATTTCTAACTGCAATTCTGTAGGTGCGAATCTCTACTTCCTGTGTTAAAGTCCATCAAAAATAGGCACTGAAATTCTGATATTGAAAGCTTTTAGTGAAATGGCTAATGACAGCCCTTCAGACAAGCACTTCTCAGCAAGTTTGTTTTAGAATAATTATAGTTTCTTGCAATTACTGGCAATTTTAATGATAGGCTGTTGAGACAGTTTTTTAGTTCCATAATCTTTGTAAAGTCTTTTGTTCCTGAAATTTTATCACCATCTTGATGCACGAGTGTGAGATACTCCAGGGAAATGCTGTTCAATGCCTGCTTGAATACAATTTTAAAATGTAATTTTTTGTCTTTTCTCTGATTTATACCCAGGTCAAATTCATATTATGATCTTGGGTTCCTTCTTGAAAACTCACTGCATCTTCATTTAAGATCTTAAAGTATTATGTAAGTCACATCCTGGGAGATGTGAAAATAGATTTTTTTCATCTTCTTCATAAAGCATCCTTTCTTTCCTCCAAAGTACACTCATTTTCATCCAGAATTTTATTCCATGACATTCAAACTGTTCTGATAGCTCAAATGTAATTCTACCCCCACTGAAATCCACCTCAGGCCTTCTCCCAGTGTGATCCAACAATTTTTCTTTGGGATGTTACAGAAGTTGCACACTACCATTCTGATACACAACAGTGAATACACTCAGGAGACTTTTTTCAGAATTCCTGGTAGCATTGCAACTCAGCAAACTGGTTTGATACATCTGTGTAAGCAATTTAACTTGTCCCCTGTTCCCTCAGTGCTTTCCTTTTGACAAATTGACTGAATTCTGACAAATACACTCACCAAAGCTTTCATACAGTGCCTGTCATCCCATTCAAATGGTTTCTTCACAAAAAAATACCAGTAGTGTCAGTCCTGCTGGTGATCATCTACAGGACATTTCAACCTCAATGCCATGTATGCAAAATGTTTTATTTTATTTTTGTTGCAAAAATATTTGCCACCTGTAATATTTTCCTCTTATTCAAGCCATTAGACAGAAAAATAAGCAAGGTTGTCTGCTTTCAACAGAGATTTACAAAAATCCTGATTACCTCCTGGGGAAAAAGACATCTGCAGAGAAAAGTGGGGCATCCATTGTTGCTGCATGTTTAATTTTATTTGATTTACTATACTTAACTTTTTCCCTTGTTGGCAAGAACAGCCTTAGCTGCTGCTCATGCTGTTTGCCAGCACCTCCATCTGCATCTTTGGTTACTCCTAGGGTTGGTTCTCCTGCATTTGCAGAATGCTGCTTGCATGCTCTGCTCCCCTGGGAATGTTTCCCCTTTGTGGCTAACATTCACAGCAGCGTGGAGTTACTCTCCTTGTGGATGACATTTTCCTGCAGCTGCAGACACCTGAGCCCAGCTCCCTCTGAGCCTCCTACGTGGCCTTGGTGATCACTGCCAGTGATAAGGGAATGCCTCTGTCTCCTCTTCAGAAGTCTTGGATTGGTGCTGCGAATCCACACCCACATTTCAGTTCTGTCAGTAATCCCAAATCCCCTGTGGGAGAGTTTATCTGAATTAATCTCATCGTGTAATTTTGCCATGTAGGTTTATTTTGTAACTGGACCATTCCTTATCTTACCTTTTGTAGATTATTTTTCCTCGTGGGAGTGGTTTCCATAAAACACCTCAGAAAGCATTTAATTCAGTCTCAGAGTTAGTGCTGCATTTGCTTGGAATTTCTGTCTGGCCTGTTTTCTGCTGACCTTTACTTAAGTAATTATGTATATGCATGTGTGCATGTGTATTTGTAATGCTTTCTGTCTTGCTCAAGTTTTATTTTACCCCATAAGGCAAGCTTTCCTCTGGAGTTTGATGTCCCAGTTGTTTTATTAGGATTGTGACAAGTCTGCTCACACGAGGCACATCCACAGCACATCTGAATGAAAGCAAACATCCTGTGTTCCTCAGCCTTCTCTAAACCCCAGCAGATGGCTGCTGCTTTGGCAAACTGTGAGCAATAGGATGGATCACATTTCCCATGCAGCAGACTTATTTCTGGAATCCAAACCCAGTAAACTTCCAGAAGGTGGGAACGTGGATCCAGCCACAAAGCAGTTTAGCCCAAATCAGTCCTGCATGGTGATTCTCCATAGCTCAGCCCCTCTTGCTGTTTGGGATGATGTACAGCAGGCTGAGCCAGCCAAAGTTGCAGATGGACTGGTAACAGCTTCCACGTGCAAATCTTTAAACACCAAGCCTGAAAGTCCTTTGTGCATTTGTTAGAATCTGTGTATGTTTATTTTTTCTCTCTGTGATTAAGTATCTTGTGGAGATAAATGGTGCTTTTTTGGAATGACTGGGTTTCCTTGATGCTCAGAGCCAGTTCCTGCTCAGGATGCTGGCAGGATCTGCAGGAGGTGGTGTGTATTTTCTCTACCTCAGGTAACACTCAGGGGACACAGACAAATGTCCTTACCCTGGTTCCCTGCAGCAGCAGTGCCCTGACATGTCTGTGCTTAACCCCAGCTCTGGAATCAGTATCCAGGTGAATTAGCAGCAATCACAGCATCATGGAATGGTTTGGGCTGGAAGAGACCTCAATCATCTCATTCCACCCCCTGCTGTGGACAGGGGCACCTTTCATGTTGCTCCAAGGATCATCAAACCTGGCCCTGACCAGGGATGGGGTATCCACAACTTCTCTGGGCAGCTTTTCTCAGCTTGAAACTTCACCCTGCATGTGTGTGGTGTGCTCAGGGACCCATTCCCACTCATTTTTTCTCCCAGAAGGAGGCAACAGAGGGGTTATTTGGACTGCAAGTCCAGTCAAATAGCCTCTGCCAGGTCTGTTGAGAACATTGTGTCCTGAGGAAAGGGCAGTTTGGGAAGTGGCTTCATCTGTTCTTGCTTAAAACTTTTCTCCACTGAGCAGGCTCAGTCTCAACCATTTGTGCCCACTTTCCTTCTCATGTTGGAGTATTTAGCATCAAAGAAGGCTTTTCAAAGAACACCTGCATTCTTCTACAACTTGTGCACTGATTTCTTTGCATGGTTGATCTTCAATCGGCTACACATCTGTTCTGTTGCATTCAGAGGCCCTAAAAATGATGCCATTTGTTTAGAATCATAGAATCATCAGGGCTGGAAAATACCTCCAAAATCATCAAATCCAGGAAGTAATTCTAAAGAATTACAAAATTTCTGATGTTTCTCCTCCAAATGTACTGATTATAAAAATGTCTGTGTGCAAGATAGGCTAGCATTAACAATCCTTCATCATACAGAAGCTCTCTGGTCATGCAAACCCAATTCACAATTGATGTATATCACAGGACATTTTCCTCCATCACACCAATGTAGAAAGCTCCCAGTGGCTCTGGAGTGCATATTTCCATTAAGGATTCAGCAGGCTAGCCACAGTCTTCATTATTTCCTAAATCAAAGTTATTCAGACTTCCAATTTTCCTTTACAATTTTTTTTTTTTTTTAACAAACTGTTTTTAAGGCACACTGTTGGTCAAAACCTCTGACTAGTTGGAGTAAGAGGTAAGATTGTTGATCCTGTCTTCCAACAGCTGCTTCTGTACTTGGAGACACTCCCTAGCTGGTTATGACTTTTTTCTCCACTAATGTCACTAATGTGTCATTGACTGGGGTAGGCAGCCAAAGACTTTCTTGAGATTTTTTTTTTTTTTTTTTTACTAAAGGCTGTGCTCAGAAAAATCAATATTACAGAAAAAAGCAACCTATCAACATTTCACTTTACATAGAGAGGAGTTTCCATTTGCTTTATTTTATTATGTATCCCAGCCACAGAAGGATGAACAGTGAAATCAGGTGGATTACCTGCAGCCATGGAACTCTGTCAATAATTTAGTATATTTTTCAGATTGCGTTATTTCTGCTCTTGTTTTGGTTCTTTAATCAAGAAGAAAGATTTACAACTGGTTGTAATGACCCACTCAAAGGTGTTTGTAAATAAAGTATGAACCACAAAGCTGCATCTAGTCCTTTTTCTTAACTTTTTCACCACAGCAGTGCCTCTTGGGCTTTTCCACTGAGTTTTTTACACTCAGCAAAAGCATCTGTGAGCTGTTTTGCCTGCTGCAGTGAGCCATGGGGTTTTGCATCTGGGAAGAGGGACAACAGTATAAACAATGCAAAATGAGACAAAGTCATAGAGTCATTTTGGTTTGAAAAGCCCTTAAGATCATTGATTCCAACCACTAATCCAGCACCACCAAGCCCACCACTAAACCATGTCCCCAAGTGCCACACCTACATGCTTTTTGAACACTTCCAGGGATGGTGACTCCACCACTTCCCTGGGCAGCCTGTTCCAATGGCTGTCAACCCCTTCAGTGAAGAAATTTTTTTCTTAATACTTCTCTATCTCTACAAAAATTTATGTTTCTGGTGCAAGTGGGCTTGAATAAAATAGTCATGAATGACAATACCCGTGGTCAAATGAGGCATCAAAATCACTTATTCCTCAACAAGAGAGCTGGAATCAAGTGTAAGTACCTGAAGGGAGCCTATAAAAGATGGAGAGGGACTTTTTGCAAAAGCCTGGAGTGACAGGACAAGGGGGAGTGGCTTCAAAATGAAAGAGGGTAGGTTTAGATTGGATATTAGTAGAAAAAAATCTTCCCTTTGAGGGTGGTGAGGCCCTGGCACAGGTTTCCCAGAGCAGCTGTGGCTGCCCCATCCCTGGACATGTTTAAGGCCAGGCTGGATGGGGCTTGGAGCAACCTGGTCTGGTGGAAGGTGTCCCTGCCCATGGCAGGGCGCTGGAAAGAGGTGATTTCAGGTCCTTTCTAACCCAAACCATTCTATTGATTCCATTTCTATTGATGTTTGCTATAATCAGAAGCAAGGGGCCATGTGCACAGCCTTGCAAATTTTAAGTGGGAGAGAAATTTCCTATGAAAACCCTGACCAGAGTCACAGCCTGAAAGACACTCAGCCAGAAGCTTCTGGTGAACACTGAGCCTCTCCCCTTCCTGCTCCATCCCACACCCTGTGAATATCCCACATCCAGCTCAGGGTTTCCCCCTGTAACTGCTGTGGGTACCTTACAGTGCCCAAAATCTCTTCCACCCAGGCAGATGCTCCAGCACTGCTGCAGAGGAGAACAGCAAGCTCCAGCTCATCAGGCCCTTGAAGGGGGCAGTGACCCTGTGTGGCTATTAAAGAAGGTAACAGTAGGCTCAAGCTGTTCAGGAGAGAAATACAAATAACTCCCTACCAGTACAAATAAGGCACATTCAAATGTGTTTAATTGTGCGTGCCTGTCTGGAGGTCTGGCTGATCATTCCTCTTTCCATCTCTCACTCAGAGGGTCACCAGTGCCTGAAAACACTGATGTGCCAAGGAAGCCAATTCCTTGTGGGTGCATGACTGCTCCACACAGACATTTTCCCTTCTGTCACTTGGCATAATTCAGTATGGGACTTGAAAATTCAAAATATAAACAAGAGAGATGAACCAGGGCCAATCATGTTGCAAGCAGAAGTCTCAAACCTTCCCAGTAAGTGAAGAATACCTCTCCTCTAGAAATACCACCAATTTCTCCATTTTCAGCTTAACCAGAACAATTTCTTTGCAGCTTTTAACCTATGAGGATATTGGGGCAAAAATATCATGGTCAAATATACGTGTATGAGACTATAAAACCACTCAATGCCTCACAATACACAATTTATCAGGCAAGTTTCTCCCATCTAGTTATCCTAGTTCTGTGAATTACTTATTGCTTTTCTTTCTTCCTCAGGATCATTTTCTCCTGTAACTTTGTTATTTTTAACAGTTCTTTTACAGTTAAAAATCTTCAAGGTATTTAAGTATCATTCTGACAATGACAGAACTGTCCTCTGTATTGTCCTTTAGTGGCTTCTGGTTATTCCCAGCTTCCAGGATGCACCAAGTTACTGCAGCTTTTTCCTGAAAATGGATAAATCATACACCTGAGCTAAACAAATAGAAAAAGCCAAGAATTTGTGAGAGTGAGGAGGGCATGATCCTTTCAGAGAATTACTAAACTGAATTAACAAGAGTGACAATTTCTTAACTGGGAGGGAAAGCAGGGAGAAGAATTCAATGAAAGTTAATATTCCCGGCTAAAGAGTTGAAAGATAAATTCTGCATTTTGTCAGGGAAATTGTTTTGAGGAAGAAAAAAATAAAATTGTATATGATTATGAAAATACACTCAAATATATGAAATATATGAAAGTATATATGAGTATGAAAATATTTATGATGCTTTAATAAATGAGATGTCATCTCTAGTGAAGGAAACCCAATCTTAATTTTAGTGTTTCCTGTGCTATGGTCTTGTATGGTGTAGGCAAGTTGCTGAATGGTTAATTTTGACCTCTGCCATTACAATGTATCTTATTTCTAATTGGAATTATGTCCAATTTTGGCTCCCAGACATTCATCCTGTCAGATGTTGATTACTGTAATAAATACTGTCATTACTGAATTTATTCCTATAAGCAAACTGAAGATCAGAGTCTGCAGTGCTCACAGGCTGTTTCAAGCAGGATAAGCAGTCTCTTAAAACCTTCTGTCTTCTCTCCTGTGGTTTCCCAGCCCAGGAGAGGGAAGGACTGCAGGGTCAGTGGAGCCAGGCTTGTACTTTTGGGGGTTGATTTTTCCCCCTGTACATTATGACCTCTACAAGGAAAATACTGATGAGTTTAGGCATCCCAATCTGGTAGTCATCCCACCAAACCTGAATTCAGCAGTTCTCACAGATGTGTGGCAGGATTAGATACTCATATTCTTCTTGGCTGTTAATTAATTTTAACTGCTAATTGTGATGCCTTCACAGAAGCCTATGTTGCAAAAGAAATTTTGAGCAGGCTTAAGTCTGGATGTTTCTCACATGTAAATAGATCTCAGTGGCACACAGGCTGTATTAAATACTGTATTTGAGCTAAAGCACCTAGAGAAAGACAATTCTTGTAGTGGGCTGAAGCCAGGTCCCCACCAAGCCACTCTGTGTGTCCCCTCCTTCAGCAGGATGGGGACATGGGGAAATAAGATGGGAAAAACCTCATGGGTCTCGATAAAGATAGTTAAATAAAGCAAAAGAAAAGGCCATGCATGGAAGCAAAGAAAAACAAAGTGTTTATTCCCTACTTTCCACCAGCAGGCAGGGTCCAGCCACTTCCTGGGAAATGCTTCAGCATGGAGCAGCTGTAAGGATGGAATGCCCTCCCTCTTTCTCCACTCTCAGTTTTTATTGATGACCAGGCACCAAACAATTTGAAACATCCCTTTGGTCACTTGGGGTCAGCTGTCCGGGCTGTGTCCTCTCCCAAATCTTTGTCCACCCGCAGCCTCCTGGAGAGGCAGCTTGATGCTGTGGAGTGCTGGGCAGCAGCAGCCAGAGCAGCAGTGTGTTTGTTATTTATCAACACCTTCCCAGCCCTGTGAGAGCTGCTGTGGGCATAATTAACTCCATCCCAGCCAGACGCAGCACAGCACAAAAAACATCTTCAGCCTTCCCATGCTGGAGGCTGTGAACACTCACAGCCATTTCAGACCTGTCCTGCTTTCCAAGAATGATGATTTTAAAGGGATTGTCAGTGCCCTTAGGGCAGTAAATACAACACTGCTAAAGTGTTGGTAAGCAAACTGAGCCGCAGGAGAGATCCATGGGTTTTCCAACTAAAGTGAAATGAAACAGACTTGGTTTATCATCTCTTCCTACATAATGCACAATGGCAGCAAGCACAGATGGGCTTCTGCACGCACTTCATGCTGTATCCCAAGTTTGTGTGCTGTAAAAGAGCTCCCAAAATTTCTAAAACCCATATAGGAACACAGCAGAGAAGTCAAGTCACTGCAGCAGAGGACAGAAGACAACAGCCCCTGTGTGCCCCATGGTCTCTGGTCTCACACCATCTCCTCCAAATCACCCTCAGCCCCCCATTCTTGTCCTCCCATCCAACTCTTTAAGGACAAAACATACAAAAGAAAACACCAAAAGCTTGCTTTAGTGCCAACCATGGTAAAAAGCCTCTGTTCATCTTTATCTTGAGGCTGCAGAGGATCACAGCCTGGACTTTTCAGAGGGCAGAGCCTGGTAAAAGTCCTTGCTCAGGGGAGAGGAGTTGTGCTAAGCACAAACTTCAGCCCCACTGCCTCCATCCCCAGGCCCAGCTCCTGCTGGACTGGCACAAGAGGTTCCCTGCCCGTGTTTCCCTTCCCCTCACTCTCATTAGCAAGGAAGACAGAGCTGGCAGCAATCCCAGCAGTGCGTTTGCTAAATGGATCTATTAAAATGTAAACAGAGATCACGTTGCAGGGCATCATCATAAAACACTGGGGGTGACAGCTCAGCTGGTTCCCAAACACTGGCTGGCTCCTCCTGCACATCCCAGTCCCAGCTCTCCTGACTCTTCCTCCTCTCTCCAAACATTTGCCCACTGGGTTTTCTGAAGGCTCATCATTATCTGTCAGTGCCCTGCAGCCTCACACCAACAGGAGCCTGGCTGCATCTCCAGCATGTTTTGGAGGTGTACAATCTCTCTGAGGCTTTCTGCTTTAGGAAAACAGAAATTATTGAAATAAGGGCCCCCTCATAGGCCCCTTACCATCCCTTCAGAAGCCCTTGAGTTTGCAGTTTAGCACTGATGGAGCACAGGACAGGCCACGCGAGTTACACCTGTCCTACTCCTGCCTGATACACATCTAGGAGGAGTTTATCACCCCTTTGTCTGACTTCCAAATGAAGGTTTTCCTGCTCTCTCCCCTACCGCCCCTCCTCGCTCGCTCTTGCCGGGGCTCTCAGGAAACCACCAAGCCTTTGCTTTATTCTCTTTCAAGAATTCTTTACAACCATGTGTTCATTCCCCTCCCTGCCAGCTAGGCTGCAAAAGCTTGACAGAAATTGGAAGGGGCAGGGGACAGGTTGGGGGTTTCTGGTTTGATGACTTTGACTTGCATTGCTGCTGTTCTCATCTCTTTCCCCTTCCCTGAGTGG